TGCTTGTGCTGGGCCTCAACCCTCGACGACCTTACGATGATGCATATACTCTCTACATCCAGTTGCTAGCCCAGAAGCTTACGACATCTCTAGCTTGCACGGTCTTGTTAGAGGAGGAGCGACGTCGAGGACGGAATGCTGCTGAGCAGGCTGCATACGATCAGGCCATGCTGAAAGAAAAGCTCGCCTACCAGACCAAGGAAGCCACAGAGTACACACGGTTATTCCAGACAGTTTCGGACTTCATTCCCAACGGATTCTCCCTCGGGGACCATCAAGGGAACATAACATTCGCAAACGGCCTGTGGTACCGCATAACAGGACACCCTGATGAAGGCGGTTCTTTCTCTTGTGTGTTGGAGGCAGACCGAGAAAAGATTCGAGAGGCATACAAAGAACTCCAGACCAAGGATGAAGTCGAATTTGAGTTCCGCGTCAAAGGAACGGAACATACGAATCGCATGCTGGCAAGAAGATCGCCTTTCAAAGTCGACGTATATAGTGATCTTGACGAGGATCTCGAACGTTTTGTAATGGCTCAGGCAAAGGCTGAGCGAGCGACTGACGGAACTATCATTCGGACTTTCACTTGCCTGACAGATGTTACGGCACACAAAAGGACGGCCGACGAAGCGACCAGGAGGGCACAACAGGCAGAGAATCTAAAGAGGATGGCTGAGCTTGCCACAGTTGGCATGTTCGATATGGATACCGGAGGACGTCTGCTCGGGGCAAACAACGTCTTTTTCGAGTGGTCTGGGATAGAGAAGGTGGACCTTTTGCAACACGAAGTACAGCCATGGGAAGTTTCAGTTGTACAAGACGACCTTCCGACCTTGAGCGAGAGCGTGGCTCGACTTGTGGCGACGAAGAAGCCTCAGTCGGCTGAGATACGCCTGAAAACCACATGGACAGCTGAGGATGCTGGAGGGAACCAGATCACCGCGCCCAGATGGGTTCACATCACTCTGATGCCGGTCTGCAATTCAGATGGCGTCGTTCAGTCGTTTACTGGCTGTGTCAGCGACGTCTCATTACAAAAGTGGCAACTCGAATTGGAAACTCAACGTACCGAGGAGGCAATCGACTCGAAACGACAGCAGGATAACTTCATCGATATGACTTCGCACGAGATGCGAAACCCGCTCAGCGCCATCGTTCACTGTTCAGACGCCATCATTGCCTCTCTCGCGCGATGCGAGGAGCTTGTCGACCGGCCTCCTACTCCAAAGGCAGCGAAATCTGATGACAAAAGTCAAGATAAACACTTTGATATCAAGCAGCTTCTTTCGGACAGCATCGAGAATGCGGAGACGATTGTTGCTTGCGCACAGCATCAGAAGCGGATCGTGGACGATATCTTGACAATGTCCAAGTTGGACTCCAAGCTCCTGGCTGTCACTCCTTGCACGGTGAACCCCGTTCAGATTGGCGAGGAGGCTATCAAGATGTTCGACGTAGAGGCTCGTCGTGTTGATATTGACCTCAAGATGACTGTGGATAAGTCGTATCGGGAGCTGGGTCACGTTTACCTTGATCTTGATCCCTCCCGCGTGAAACAGGTTCTCATCAACCTGCTTACAAACGCCCTCAAGTTCACAAAGTCCGGGTCAATCAGGAATGTATCCGTCTGCATGAAGGCATCGCGACAACGGCCGACGGACGATACGGCACCGGTCACCTTCATTCCCCGATCCTGTAAGGAAGAGTCAGAGTACGAGCAGCCTGCCCTCGACAACCGTAGAGACCCAGTCTACATCATGTTCGAGGTCAAGGACACCGGCCAGGGTCTATCAGAGGACGAAAAGTCAAATCTCTTCAATAGGTTTGTGCAGGCGAGCTCGCGAACTCATGTCAAATACGGTGGAAGCGGTCTGGGGCTATTCATCTCGCGGCGCTTGACAGAACTGCAAAAGGGCGCTATCGGCGTATCCAGCTTACCAGGGGTGGGTTCCACGTTTGCATTCTTCATCGAGGCATACGTGCCGACGGAGTCGTCGCGGAGGGAAGCCGAATCTGCTGCCGCCGCTGTGAGAATGACGACTCTAGCTACTGCATCAAGCACGCCATCCACGATGCCGCGCATTAGAGCCTCCGCGAACGAACAGAAGACACCTGGCACGCGGCCGAAACCCAAGAGTTACGACCCTCGGCTGGATGGAATTCTTGTGGTGGAGGACAACCTGATCAATCAGCAGATCACCCGTCGCGGCTTGCAGGATAGGGGATTCACTGTCGACGTGGCCAATCACGGAATCGAGGCTCTAGAACGACTCATGCAGTCCATGTCGCTGCAAAAGCAAGACGACCCAGAGTACTTTACTCACAGCAACTCGAGTTCTCAGGGGCCTGCCGCACCGATCAACCTCATTCTCATGGACATAGAGATGCCAGTGCAGGACGGGTTGACATGCACGCGGCGGATCCGTGAACTAGAGAAGGAAGGAAGAGTGTTTTGTGCGAGCGGTGGAAGAATCCCCATCATCGCCGTCAGCGCCAATGCAAGGCCGGAGCAGATGCAAGACGCTAAGAGCGCGGGGTGTGACGACGTGCTCGTCAAGCCTTATCGGATGCCGGAGCTAATTGAGAAGATGCAAGTAGTGGTCCGGCGGATGGGGGGCCTTTCCCCCGTGTCGCCTATACGATAATGGGGGCCAGGGCTGCCTATCAGAGAGGCGGAGGAGGAAGCGGCGAAAGAACATTATCGGTCACATGGATAACCAAGGGCTGGTGATCCTGCAGAGATGGGTACGGCGTTTAGGTAAAGGGGAGCCACAGCAGGACTGGGCTCGGGGACGAGGACTGCTTCCGGGGTTTCGTCTGGTCACACTTGGCTGTGTGTCATGTGGTGGATGGACGAACAGAGATACCAAAAATGGCCTTGGATTCTTGCCTACAGGAAGACTCCAGACGTTGGATGTCACACGCGCGAGAGAGACTTGACATCGGATGGCGTTGATCGGTGGGGGGGCCTAGCCATGTCGATGGATTTGGGAAGGAAGACTGGCTTAATTCAGAAAAGAGGTAGAAAAGGGAATTGTTTCGTGGAGTGAGGTTCCTCGGCGGCTGTCACCGAGGTCAATCCAATGATTATTCACCAACGTAGACGGGCCAGACGGAGAGAAGGAATAACACCAAATAATCAACTGCAAGACTGCAAAACTCGCAGCTTGAAGCACTCAAGGCTTTGCAACTTGCCTGCTGAAGAGCAATATGACATGCCTTTTGTCCCTGTCCGTACGTCTTTTTCATACCGGTTTGGAGAGACCATCAGGTTAGGTTGTTAAAATTCCTGAGAACCGACTTAGTATCGCCGAGGAGAAGAGTGAAGGGAAAGAAAAGACTATGAGACGAGACGGAGAAATTCATAATTGGTCGGGATTTTTGGGGGCCGCCCGCCGTCGCTGGCGATGCCCTCCCTGGATGGGATGCAGGGGAGCGGTTTTATGTCACGGCCCCACTATGGGCGCCGCGGGGGCTTGGCCGGTGGAAGAAGCACCGGTTCGATGCAAACTAATGATGTGCGCAAAGGGTAGACAGACCTTTTAGTTCTCGCCGGGGAGACTGAGGAATAAAGCCGAGGTATGTAGGAAAGTACAGAGAGATTTATGTACAAAGGTAGGTAAGGTAGGTCTATTATTGTGTAAAGAATGGCGTTACGTAGGTAGGGTACGGGCAGGCAGGGTGTCCGGGCCGACGCGGGCTTTTTGAGGTGTGAGAAAATGTTCGAGTGAGGTGGTCGTAGAATCTATTCTGTATCATATGTAGTTGGTGGGATCTCATGCGTCCCTCACTTGTTTGCGTTCTACAGGGCAGGTTTTGCCCATCTTTCAGAATATAGCATAAGACAAGATACAGACAGTACTCCTGTTTAGCATGTGGGATGATGGGCGGAGGGGTTTGCAATGCAAATGGAGGTTTTCCTGAGATGATGGAGCACAGTTGTGAATCATTCTACGTACGGGCTTATGCATGTCATCTAAGCACTAATCTCTGGTGAATGAAGTGCTCGTCTGTAATCAGACGATGGGGTCTCTCGAATTCTCGAGGCCCGCTCGCGGCGGAGGTTTGGGACGGGAGCTATGGATCCAATTCCTTTTGGACTGGGGAAGGTCCGTGGCTTGTTGTCTGAGGTTCTTGCCCAAGCTTCTTTCCTTGGGTGTCTTATGAGCTAGGTACCTTACGTACCTTACCGTACCTCTGAGAACGCGACAAGAAGGCATGACCTGCGATTTATCATCATCCATCCATCCTTCCTTCCAATTCCCCGAGACATATTCTATCTGTAAATTCCAGCGGGCAATACCTTAGCCGTTCCATCAGAGGTGGATACTTGGCAGGTTCATTTTGTAGTGTAAGTTTGGGGGAACGAGGGGAAGTACCTTACCCCTCCCCCCACCAGGCCAGGTACGTCGCGGGCAAAGCTCCTGCATGGCGCTATCCGCCCCACCCCTCATCCGAGTGCAACAGACGGAGCTCCCACCCGAACCTCACTTCCCTCTGCTCACTGCACTCGACCTCACACTCACAAACAAACGTCCCTGCGCAACGCCGTCTTCAACCGATCGCCTGCATGTACCGGACCTACCTACCTACTACCTGGCCTTGCATACAGCTTACCTAGCCGACCGGACTACCGAATATAAACTCTCCGCAAGCCTCCTTCTCCCCCCCTTTGACACCTCTCTTCCTCTTCCTTCCAAATGCCCCCAAACTCCACGTTCCTCCTAACCTCACTCCAAAAGTTGCCCCACCTTCGGCTCCGTAACCCCATCCTCCACAGCACATCGTTGTCCCGGTCTTGTGCCTTTGGGTCTTTGTGCTTACCTACACCGACAACACCGACAACAACGAAGACTATCCGCCGAGTAGCGATCCACGACACACGGCAACCACAATCCCAACCCCAAAACCGCCGATTCACGATCGGCGCCGATCGTCAAGGACGAAACGTAGTACTCCTCGGAAAAGAAGTGGGCGTTGAGAGAATCACAGACGAAATGGCGGACCGGATTCACCGCGTGACCATGTTCAAGATTGCCGATGAGGGGCAGCAGAAGCAGCTGATTGAGCAGTACAAGATTTTGGGAGGCTCGCATAAGAAGGTGTGTTTCTTTTCCCTTTTTGTTATCGAGGTCATGTCATTGTATTCGTGGCTGCGTAATAGAGGTGAGGATGGCTAGGGTGGGCTTCCGTTCCATCGGATCCCGGCACCCGTACTTCGGCCCCACCACAACTCCTCGCGCCTACGACGGTTTCCTGGGTACTTGTCGAAAGACGGGAGAAGAAAGCGCATATTGAATTCCATGTTTCTACGGGGTTTCCCCGCTTCTTGTAAAACCACACGTTGAACAACAAGCTGACATGAAGAAAAATCCACCAGGACGGAAAGCCGTACATCCTCTCCATGGTCGTCGGACCGGCCGTCGACGACCCGCGCGCCCAGGGCTTCACCATTGTCGCAAAGACCGAGTTCGCCTCGCTCGAGGACATGAAGTACTACGACGACGAGTGCGCCGCCCACGGCGTCCTCAAGTCTTTTGTCAAGGGCAACCTGACCGTCGGCGGCGTCATGTCCGTCTACTTTAAGCCCGAGGCCGTTTCCGTCTTGTAGATGTGTTTTTTCTGTGGCGGTTGGGAGAAGAAGCACCCGTAGGCCCTACCCGGGTCAGGGGACCAGAGGGTATTCGGGTTGGTGCAAATGAAGAGGAGTTCAACCAGGGATCCGAAAGAGAAACTTGTGATCGTGAGGCAGCTTTTTCTCTCCCCGTGTCTCTCTGGTGTAATAGAAACTTATTCCAGAAAAAATGTCAAATACTCCTTGTTGCCGGTTATGGACAGGTATCAAGCTACTTTGCATACATGGAATTCCTCCCCTTCCAATCCTGAAACACAATCATCAATTGCCCCTCCATTCTCAGTCGACCTTTGTTGCCTCGAACCATTTCTTTTTTTTTGTTCATTTCTTCTTTTTTTTTCCCCCCCCCTGCAGAGCCAACGGTTGACAGTCGGCTCTGCAATAAAAACCAACTTACAGCCCGGGATATGAGATAGGAAATAAAGCCGCATCACCGACAAATCGACAAGAGAAAATAGACAAATAGCACACACACACACACACACGCACACATACACACGAAGCTAGACGATCACGAGGCAGCGGCAACAGCAGGTGCGGAAGCCGGAGCAGTCGCAGGCGCCGCAGTCGTGGCAGCAGTCGTGGCAGCCGCATCAGTAGCGGGAGCAGTAGTGGCAGGGGGCTGCGTCAGGGTCCCCTCGGAGAAGTTCTTGAGCCCCTCCATCCAGGCGGCGAAGCCCGTCTCGAGCTGGCCGACCATGGTGAAGCGGAGGACCTGCGCCAGAGGACCGTAAAAGGTCTCCCAGCAGCGGTACTCCGTGCCGTTGCCGTCCTCGGTCTCGAGGAACTCCTGGACGCGCTCGGATTTCAGGACAAAGGGGGGCACGAGGCCGCCCGTCTTCCAGCAGACGCGATAGCCCTTGCGGCCGCGGTGGACGGGCTGGGTCTCGCCGTTTGCGACGGCCGTGGAGGGGGCGGCGTGGGTGTACTCCTCGAGCTTGGTCACGACGAGGGCCTGCTTTGTGGTTGTCTTTGCCGGGTCGAGCGTCATGTGGACTTCAAAGGTGACGTGGGTGCCCTCGAGGAGGAGCTCGCCGGGCTGGTTCTTGGCGGCGGCGGAGTCGGCGAGCATGGGCGGGACGGCGAGCCCGGAGGGGCGGGAGACGGTGGCTTTGGGGACAAAGGTGTTCCAGGCCGGGTAGGTTGCCGGGTTGAGGACGGCGGCGAGGACGGCGGTGGGCTTTGCGGCGATGGGGGTCGCGCAGGCGATTGTGAGGACGGCGCCGACGTCGCCGTGGGACGGGGTCGCGAGGGGAGGGGAGACGGGGGTGGGCGTCAGGGAGGTGGGGATGGAGTCGGTGCCCTTGTCGAGGGCCTTGGGCGACTTGGGCTTGAGCTGGTCGGGGATCTGCTTGATCGAGTCCGGGATGGTGATTCTCTGGCGTATGGCCTCCATTGTTGGTGATGATTACTGTTACTGACGTTGACTGACTTCTTCTTGGGGGTATCTCTGGGTATAATGATGGATGAGGGAAATCAAGCCGGTATCACAAGAAACTTGGTTCAAAGGAGGAAGGGATTTGGCCGGATGGGTATTTGATGTAAAAGATGAAGGTAAGGAGAGAAAAGACGGCGAACGGAGAAAGGATGGAACGATGGAGGGGGGGGGAGGGAGTAAGTAAAGGAAGTCAAAAGCAGGGCGAGAAGGCAAAGAGAGGGCACACAGGTAGTAGAAACGGGAGCGATTCAGGTGAGTTGTATCAAATGGACGGGATTGGGCTTTAGACTTCCTGGTCTCGTGAGGAGATGCGCGTCATGGGATGGGGGGAGGGATGTATGGATGCCGGCGGAGGAGGATGGAGAGACGGTAGGAGGAGGAGGAGGGGCTCGACGGTTGGTTGCGCCAGCTGGATGAGGTGTATACAAGATGTAAGGTGTAGAGAGGTAGGGGAGGGCAGCAGAGAGCAGGGGAGGAGGGGAGGAGAGAGGGGGCTGTGAATCTGTGATCAAACGGTAGTGTCGTGAGCGTGATGTGAAGCTGTGGTATGAGGCTGGCCCGAGCAAACGGTCGGGATATAGGTAAGTGGGTGGGTGTGTATGGATGTGTGTGGATGTGTAAGGTATGTGTGTTTGGTCGCTGTGGTGTGTCGATGAGTGAGATTTGATGTGCGGTGTGGTGGTGAAGGTAAGGTACGTAGGTGTGTAGGTTGCCGACGATGATGAGATTGGCGACCGCCGACGGGCGATTTTTAGTGGGAACCTGCGCCAGCGAAAACCGATGGAGAAAGTTGGGGAGTCGAGGACGTACCTAGCTTGACGGCCACCGCGGTCCGGATCTGTCCATTTTCGGGTCCAGGCCGCCCCCCCCTCCCCGCTCTGAGTCCGGGGGACATGGGGGTATCGATGATTCCACCACGCAGGGATGAGGCGGGATGAGGCGGGATGGAGGGGTTGTTCTTTTCGGCGATTCAACACGGAGATCCGGATCGGATATGCCATTTACACTGATTGAGCAATTGTCGATTGACGATGAGAAACGAGTCTCTCGATGCATCCTCTTTTCCGACATTCTTCATCTTGAACAAAAGTAACATGTCTGAATGGATATCCGAAGGAAGCTCATCATGTCAAACGCGAAAAGGCGATCTTGTGCCCAACCCGGCAACCTCCATCAGCATGAAAAATACCAGTATAGGCCCTGCTCGCAACGGGTCTGACACGTGTAAGTGCAATGGAGAACCAAGCCAACTGGCTGACTGAGGTGAGAGAAAAAGGCAAACCAACCACCCACTTCCGCCCAGCTCACCAACATCAAACTGGGAAGTAGCCTGCTGCGTCTTGCGCATAAATGATCGAAGCAGACCCGAGGGGAACGAAGTATCCACCCGTTGGGCGCCGATTGTCGTTCGTTGGCAAAAAAACGGCTTTTTTACGCAATTAAATGTGGAGGGCGAGGGGGATATAATAAGGCACCACTTAATTCGATGAGAAAAGAGGAGGGTCTGGGAAGACGGCTCTTGACTCTGCGAGGCTGAGAGAAAGGGTTCGAGCGCTGGACTTTGGGAGTTTCGCCTCGTTTTCGGCCTTGGTCCTTTTGTTGGCTGCGTTGGTTCCCATTGAGTTCCAGGGATAAGGGGTGTTGTAGTGTGAGGTGCCACGGTGCGATCTCTTTACATCAAAGCAAAGCAAAGGTGAAGGGGGAAAAAGTGCCATAGCTCGGAAGATGGAGTAATACCTTTAGACAGACAGAAAGGTAGCTAGGTAGTTTGAGAGAGGGGAAAAGTCGCCCCATCTTCAAACCCAATCCCTTTTTGCCCTTTTGCCCCTTCTCAAACTTTCCAATTCGAAGTTCGACGCTCTTTTCCGGCAAGCCGTTTCGTTGTCAACTTGGAAAAAGCCAGAGCGTCCGAGGACGGCAGTCTGAGCCGATGATTCCATTTCCATGGAGACTTTTTTTTTCGATTCTTTTAAATGTTACTTTAGTTCTGTTGAAAAGTCAGACAAGTCCATTTTAGTTTACAATATGAGTAAGGCAAATAAGGGTCGGAAATCTTGAAAATAGTCAGGGTTCGAATGGGAACCATCTGTTCATTCTTCTCATCTCGCAAGCCTCCGCCTCCGCTTCCGCGACAAAATCCGTGCTTTAATTCGAAGAAATAGGTTTCATACACAGAGACCGCGCGCGAGAACCATTGTCTCGGTTCCAAAACCCCAAATCCTTCCCCCCCCCTTCTATCCGTACTTCCCCCAAGTACCTAAGTCACTGGTCAAAGACAACGTCTCGAAACCACTTCTTCCCAGTCCACGTTCACGCGCGCCCGATCACCACACACAATCGTTACACCGCTGTCACGAGCCATGTCTTGGTCAACCGCCTGAATGGAAAATCAGAAAAAAAAAGCACGAGGCAGAAGGCGAGTTGTGCGCTCTTGTCTGAAGATGAAGCCCCTGAGGCTCGCTCGGTGACTCATATCTCTAATCTCGATGGATGTGGGACAATGGCGGCTGGTCAGGGAGATGAGTATCAAATCCTTCTATTTTGAAAACTACCTTATGCGGCGGCACCGTTGGAATTAGTCACTTTGCGATGCGAGATTCGCATCGCGAGACGCACATGCCTCGAAATCTGAACTGGTGGAGACAAGCTGCGTATCTCTTGTCGTTAGGCGCATCCACCCAAACCCGCTCAGGTCAGATCCATGGGAATGATACTAATGTTTGATGCTATCAATGCAATTAACCCGCATGACGTATCACAAGAAGCGCGAAAAAAATATTGATAGTGAACAGTCTGTCTTTTGTCGAAACTTTGAACCGCCTTGACGGAGGCGAAAAACACTCTACATACACCAGAAAGTTCCTAAGCCATGATGCAGTTGGACGCTTGCGACCAAGTCTGCCCGAAATGCTTACCCAGAATAAGAGCGCATAGGAGCGCGAAAACACGATACCTCCCTATTCCTTAGCCGATGCCCCCCCCCCCCCCCGGTTGACGCCTTGTAACTCCCTGAAAGAAGCAGATCCTGGTTTTCCGATTCCCTGAAATTGGATATTCCCATGAAGTTATATGACCGTGTTGGACAATGCGTTGACGAAGTAGTCTAGGTTGTGCGACCGTGGACCACGGCCGAGGCGACTGAGCGACCAGAGCGAACACTGGCCATGTCGCTCATCTCGGTGCCGTCGTGGTCGTTGCCTTCTTGCTGCAGGCGTGTCTTATTGGCTTGCTGCGCATGACCAGTGAGAAGGGTGATGGATCTGGGGTCCTTCTCCCAAGTAAAGACGGCGGCGACCACCATAATGGCGCAGGCGGTGATCATGAAGATAGTCTGGTCTCTGAACGAGTCGGCATAGACATGCTTGATGAGGTTCTTGAGGTGCGAGTCCCACGCGGAAGATTGGGTCGGGGAGTGAGCCAGAGTCTCGCGTTCAGCCGAAGAAAGTTGATCACTGAGAACCTCCAAGCGCGCGTTGAACATAGCAGTGCAGATGGAGACACCAAGACAGCCGCCGAGGGCGCGAGCTTGAGCAAGAATTCCTTGGGCGACGGCGTGTTCCTTAGTCGATTCCGCCTCGACGCCAGAGAGAATGGTCGTGGAGCCAAAGTTGAGGCCGACGCCCAGTCCGAAGACGAGCGTGAATCCGTAGGCAGGAGCAAAGTCCGCCTGAGCATCGACGACCATAAGCATGAGGCTGATACCGAGGACTTGTGCAATCGACGCGACAGTCATGACGAGAGCCACCTTGTTCGATTTGGAGTTCACCGCTCCAGCAACGAACGATCCGACTGCGCAGGCTACAAGCATAGGCAGTAGGTACATGCCAGACTGGAGAGGACTCTTCTGCGCAATCACCTGCATGCGTTCCGGGATAATGACGGTGAGGGCGACATAAGGGAGTCCGGTGAGGAAGGTAACGGCCAAACCGCACATGAATGGCCTGCGTCGAGCAAGGTGTACAGGAAAGACAGGCTCTTGATGCGAGCATCGCAGATGGTCGATTAAGAGGCAGCGATTTCGGTAAAGGTAGTTCTCGAAGATGCCAAAGATACCCCAGCAAGCCCCAGAGCACACAAACATTACGATGACGGTCCAGTGGTCCCAACCATAGTATGTGTATCCACCACGTTCGATAGCGACAACGAGGAAGGCCGAGCCAAAGAAGAGAGTGGTCATACCAACCACGTCAAGCTTCTTGAAAGCCGTCCAAGAGTAGATCTTGAAGGCCTGTCGGTCTTTAGGGTAGGACAAGACGAGGCAGGCCACGGCGAACACACCGATTGGGATGTTGAGTCCAAAGATCCAGCGCCAAGTAATCTTGGAGACAATGACACCGCCTAAGATGGGGCCCAGAAGGAAAGCCGCGGCGAGAGTGATTCCGATGATGCCGCCCATCAGGGCTGGGTTGTGGGCAGGACCTTGCTCAAGCAGACAGGTCTGGGCGAGGCTGTACAAGCCCGAGCCTCCGACGCCCTGAAAAGCGCGGCCGATGATCAGGAGCTTCATGCTTTTTGCGCCAGCACACAGAGCCGAGAAGATAACGAAGACGGCCCAACTGTAGAAGAGCATGGTTCGGCGACCGTAAATGTCACTGCACTTGGCAATTCCGACAGCGCAGCCCATGTAGGTGAGAAGGTAGGCCAAGAGGACAAAGGAAGCGTGCTGGTGGTCGCCAATCTCCTGCGAGATGGCAATGAGGGAAGTGGCAATGATCGACGTATCGAGGGTAGCGAGGAAGAGGCCAACGAGAAGGCTATCCGGTCAGCTGGGTTTGCGAGAATGCTGCAATTTCCTTACCTGAAGACGATCAAGACTCGCTCAATCGTAGGCTGGCGAAGGCTGGCAGCGGAATACTCCGCGCCACGGCGGGGAGCAAAGTTCGCGACAGCGAAGCCAGCAGTCTCACCCAGAGACGGGTTGGGATAGGACAGCTGGTCAGCCATCTCGCGACGAGAGGGAGACTGGGCGGTCATTGCTGCGATGATCTTGACGGCGGTTGACGGCGGTTTTTATTGTCGTGAGCGGAATGGAGTAAGTCTGACGATTGTCTTCTCCTCTCAGGGGCAGAAGATGGAAAGATGCCTTCGAATCTTACCGATGGTAATATTCGGAGCTTGAATCCAGCTTGTCTCGAAGAGATATGGCGACGAGGCAAAGATTTTCTGAAAAGCAAGGAGGGAAGAGAGGGATTGTGTGGGTATGGTATGGGGAGAGAAGGTGTTTGGGTTAAGGAAACCCGGTTGAGGAAGGTCTCTGAGGATACCTGGCTGCTCTCGCCTCGATGGGTATAGGGGCTAGCTTGTTTTTCCTGATGGAAAGGGAAAGAGAACCCGTAACGAGACAGTGATCAGCCTTGTGCCTGCCTGTCCTGAGGGCCTTTGCAGAGTTGATCGAGGAAGGTAGCCGTGGGCGTTGGCTGGTAATTGAACTGTTGGTTACCTCGACGATGCAACAACAAGGCAGGTGGTGTGAGGAGGAAAGGATCACTTTGAGAGTACGTGTGTGCGTGTGTATGTGTGAACACACATCCCTCGTTGGTGTGAGGACTTGAGCGGCAGCAAGGAACAAACGAGGTAAGCAGCTGCCCATCCACTCTATCTTGGACAGTGGCCACAACACATAGTTATACTGACTGCAGCTCTTTACCGTCATGTTGACAGTAGAAGAAGAGGATCAAATGCACCTATCCATGATGCCCGAGACAGTGGTTTTCCTAGAGGCTTGCTCATCCAGCCTAGGCCAGGGTGAAGATGAGATCTTCTCTGACAGTTCCACCTTGGGTAGGCGAAGACACAGACAATGACGGGTGCTGTGCGAGGTAGGACAAACAACTTGAAAGCGTCAAGACTGTGAAGCATAGTTGTGGTAGTTGTTCGCGTGCCCTGTGCCCTGGCCTCGCTCGGCTGTGGTAACCACGACACTATGTTCCAAGACAAAGACTTTCTTGCTTGAGAATGGAGGCCGAGGAAAAGCCAGGGGCAGATGGATGACTGTGTATCCCGCCAGAGGGGGCAAGGCAAGCCGTCGGTAGGATGTGTCAGGCAAATGTCCCAGTTGCTGGTCTCTCAGAAATGGAAGAGCTGCCACTGGGGTGACAGGAACAGGTCCCGTTGTTGTACGAACCCCAGCCCAGGACTCTTCAGCATTCAAGGCCGTGGCATTTCGTAAATAAGCCACTCAAGTCCCCGACTGGGGTGGGAGAGATTTATATCAAGCGACACTGTTTGACGCTGAGCCGGTGCAACAGAATATCGACTGGCTGTCTCCGGTTGATGCCAGAATCCGGCAGTACTACCTTGTGTACGTTCAGCTCTCTGCTTTAAGAGCAACAAGACGAAAAAAAGAGAGGAAATCGCAGCAGAAAAACGAAGTGCCTACCGGATCTGTGCATCGCCGACTGACCTCTCGTCTGCACCACTAGCTCTGCACGCCCCATTTGGGACGTCGTGCTCTTGGATGCCTCGTGGTTGAGTCGCCATCGTCCTACCCACTTGGTTAGGAACAGGTGCGTGGAGCGCCACTAGCATCCGACACTGCATTTTCAAACGTTTTGTTCAATCCGTCATGTCGAGAAATGGAGTGGAAGAAAGGCTGCTCGTTTGGAAGCTTGAGAGCTGCGAAGTGAGGTCATGGATCAAGCTGCTTAGCCGAACAACTCTTGGTCCGGCCCGTGTGCGACCTCGCCTCGGATTCCCTCAATGGTTGCTGCAGCGCTGGGCGACAATGTTTTCGGCAGGATGTCCTTGTCAAAAACTGGGGGATCTGAAAAGAAAGGCATGTTGAAGCGCTTTGGCCTGCCGAGATGGTGTGTATCACAGATACTAGGGGTCGAACTCCCCTCGTCTTGATTGATGAGGGTTGTACACCTGCTTGTGGAACATGAAGTCGGTCCTAGAATGGTTCGATTGGCCAGACTGGGCAAAATGGTCTCGTTGTGTCAATATCACCGTCAACTCAGCGCCATTTTGAACTGTCGTACAGGCTTTGAGTGTTTCGTTAATCGAGATGGTGCAGCTTTGTGATGGATATTCAGCCACATGAGATCCTATGAGACCCTATGAGATGGTTGGAAATGAGTAGGCATAACCAACTTCAGAAGGAAAGGAAAGTAACAATGAGCAGCCTGAATGGAGGCGCTTGGGCCATAAAAGATCCCTGACTTCGTGTGTGAAGTCGGAGCGGAAAATGTGTTCGGTCCGAGATGCCATTGACCTCTGAGGTGTGGTATGGATGAGATTGGGCTGGACTTCATCCAAATGGTGAAACTTGGTAAGCTCATAATACAATTACTGAACCTGGTTGACATTTCTTTCTCTGAGCATAATCTCATACTTGAACTTCCATTTACAAGTCTTCCCAAGCTAATTGACAGATTGCGATATTAATCTATATTCCCCTGTTCTCTTGAACGATTTTCTGGTCTCATCCTCTGCTTTGCTCGATGTTCTCCTTCCAATAATGGTGAAAGTCTGAGGCCAACATGTCTCAAATGGGTTCCTGCATATGACAACATGCTACACTTACGACAATGTCGGTCTGCCACATTCTGAGCATCATCGCCCAGAGATCTAATTTCAACTTCTTCGAGAGGTCGGTGAGAGGCCGGTCCATTCGAGATACTCTTGCAATGGAGAGCAACACGAAGCTGACATCGAGTTGGCGCCAAGTCTCCGGAATATCGGACCTCCATCTGTACGGCCGCGTCGGTGAGTACTGCACAATGTCCTCGGGCGAGCTACACTCCTGCCAATGCCACCAACCTTGTTCGACACGTCAACGTCCCCGCCCAACGAAATGATCAGACATAACCGGTTACCTGCTCCATCGTGGTTTGTCAAAGCTCCCCAGTCTCCTAGTCGTCCGAAATCAGATCGTTCGGCCTCTTCTATCCATTCTCATCCGCTTCTCTTTTTGTACTCGGGCCGAGACCGTGGAGCTGGCGATCCAGACCTCCTGGGAATTGGCCACCACCGCGAGGAAACGGGTCAATTTGACTCTGTCATACATTTTTCTGCCAGGGTCATACCGTCAACTCTCCGTACAGCCCCCCAGAGCACGGCACGATTGGCAATCAGGAGTCGTGGCAAACCGAGCACGAACATCGTGACAGGTCGGCACTGACTCGGGAACCCTCTTCTGGCCAATTCTCTTCCACCGGTTGTCCTACAACCATAATCAACCACTGGAGCACATGCCAGCCTGACACCGTATCGATCCATGGAAGAAATATGCGCTACTCCCGTCATCCCCGCTGCAATGGAGTCGGAGCATCGGTGCTCCTCAAAAGTTCTGTTTGCAACATGCGGTAAGGAGATGACCCTCATGGGCCATGCTAGTTTCCAGCGGAAGGACTTCAGGATCGATCGTTGTTGTTCTCCTACGTACACAAGTTTATGTCATGTTGGAGATGTTCTTGCGGTCATCTGGGGCTGATTGCATGCCAAAGTGGGCTGCGCCCCATCCCCGTTCTATTTCAAGCAACTAGCTCTATCCTCTTCCCGTCTTCGTAGCTTCTCTTGATTTGTTCGTCGGTCTAATTGCAGGAAGCCGTTGATATCCGTGGGCTATGCTTCTGAAGAATCATAATCCAAGGAGGGCAGCACGAGGAGGAGCTGTACCGGATGAAGCTGCTCTCATGATTTTGATATGAAGAACCAATATCTTCTATGGTAGACAGTACTATGTCTACTTCCCGAGGGTTAGCAGAGGATTCCCCGAGAAACAAAGACCATTGATCATAACGAGTGAGGTCCATGCAATCACTTTGACATCCATATCATACAAAGAGTCATTTCTGTACCAAAGGATTGATGCTGACCGCCGGGTGAAGTTCTAAGCTTCATGCCGCATGCTCCCGCTCTCGCACATGAGTGGAATAAGTGGCAGGACTTGGCAGTGCCTCTAGCACTAAAAGCAGCACGACTTCACCTTCAAGTCATATTCACGTTTGAATATCAAGGGCGGGCCCCCTAGGTCACCCGCCGTCAGCTGTCCGGTGGCAGAAAAGATTTTCAACTACCCAACTTCACCTTGATTCTTCAGAGATTTCTTTCCTTCCCATTCCATCCTGTTTTCCAGCCGATTGATACCCTTTCCTTCTTCTGTACTCATCGACCCAGTAACAAAGAAGACCAGATCCTGTTGTCTGAGCTGCCCTCGTACAGTCAGATCCTTTTCGCCTTTGCGTTTCCCTTCCTCACCTCGTCTGTCAATACTTCCCACTGAAGACAACACTTTGGTTGCAAAGTTCGTCGAGGCGGGCAGGATGGAAGACATTGCTATCGTCGGCATAGCCTGCCGCTTCCCCGGCAATGCGACATCTCCGGAGAAGCTGTGGGAGATGTTGGTTGCGAAGGAGTCGGCGTGGTCAGAATTTCCCAAGGATCGTCTCAACATCGATGGCTACTATCATCCAAGCGGTGATCGTCAAGGCAGCGTGCGTCTTCATATCACCTTGTCCAGATTATTTCAATATATTTTCAGACTGACCTGATACACACAGATTTCGTTCCGAGGAGCTCATTTCATCAAGGATGATGTTGCAGCCTTTGATGCGTCGGTGAGTCGCCATCAGCGACCTCCGGATGTGGAATATCACCCGTTCTGACTCTCTTTAGTTCTTCTCCATCATGGCAGAGGACGCCAAGGCTATTGATCCTCAGCAGCGATTCCTGCTGGAGGTTTCCTACGAAGCACTTGAGAATGGTGCGTTGGTCCTCAACCTCTCGAATGATTCCGTGCTGATCTGAGATAGCTGGTCTTCGCATGGAAGACCTAAGAGGCAGCCCGACAGCTGTCTATGTGGGTTCGTTTGTAAAAGGTTTGTCATTATCTCGCTTCTCTCTCCCACCTTGCCGTACTAATTACCTCTAGATTATGAACAAATCTGCCTCAGAGATATGGACTGGCAGCCCCAGTATGCCGCCACAGGCACTGGAAATGCCATCATGTCAAACCGCGTGTCTTACACGTACGACTTCAAGGGGCCTAGTATGACGATCGATACTGGCTGTAGTGGAAGTCTTGTTGCAGTTCACCTCGCCGCCCAAGCTCTCCGAGCTGGCGACTGTTCAATGGTATGAATCCTCCATCACGGTTATCTTGGAGTTCGCAGGCTAACTTCTCAAGGCCCTCGCTGCCGGTGCTGGTCTTATCTTCACACCCAACACAATGATGCCCATGACTGCACTCAACTTTCTCAGCCCAGACGGTAAATGTTTCGCCTTCGACTCTCGTGCCAATGGCTACGGTCGCGGGGAAGGTATCGGCTTCGTTGTCTTGAAGAAGCTCTCGGATGCCGTCCGAGACAATGATACCATTCGAGCTGTCATTCGTGGCACTCACGTAAACCAAGACGGCCTGACCACAGGTGAGTATCCCACGTTGCGAGGGAACTGGGTGACAAGATTCTGACGGTTTTACAAGGCATCACTCTTCCGAGCAAGGAGGCCCAGGTGGCCAACATCCGATCCCTCTACTCCAAGCACGACCTGGACATGAATCAGACGGCTTTTGTCGAGTGTCACGGGACTGGAACCCAGGCTGGTGACTTCCGAGAGTTGAAGGCCATCTCTGAGACTCTGAGTGACGGAAGGTTGATCGAGAACCCAGTGTTTGTAGGCTCTGTGAAGACCAACATTGGTCATCTTGAGGGAGCTGCCGGGGTTGCTGGCCTGATTAAAGGTGTTCTCACTACCGAAAAGGGCCAGATACCCCCAAACATCAACTTCGAGCAAGGGAACCCCAACATCGACTTTGAGAACTGGAAAGTGAAGGTAATATTTTGTCCTCCCATATATGTTGCTTCTAATGCATGCTGATGAGTATTGCAGGTTCCCACGGATCTGGTTAAGTGGCCTATCCAAGGTGGTCGAAGAATTAGCGTCAACTGCTTTGGCTTTGGTGGAACCAACGCCCATGCCGTCCTCGATGAGCCAGCCGAGTATTTTGCCTCGCGCGGCATCTGCGCCAACCACAATTCTGTGGTCGACAACAGCCAGTCAAACGAAGACAACAGAAACAATGCGAAGAAGGGAGTCTTTTCAACTCCTCAGCTCTTTGTATTCTCTTCGAACGAGCGCAAGGGCGTATCTCGCTTAATGGAAACGCACCTTGACCACGTTGAGAAGCTCGCAGATGCTGATCAGAGAGGCGCCGATAACTATGCATACACCCTGGGATGTCGCCGCTCGGTGATGGAGTGGAAAGGATTTGCTGTGGTCAGTTCTTTTGCCGATCTCATCGCGAAGTTGATGGCCAGAGATGAGTCTAGCTTTCTTCGAAGTAACCGTGATTCGAAGCTCAAGCTCGGCTTCGTCTTTTGTGGTCAGGGTGCGCAATGGGCTGAGATGGGACGCGAGCTCATGTGCTTTGAAGTTTTCCGAAAAAGCCTTGATGCGGCGACCCAGTATCTCAAGACGATCGATAACGAGTTCGACCTCACCGAAGAGGTCATGCAGCCCCGGCCAAAGTCGCGCATTCAAGAGCCTCAGATTTCGCAGCCGGCAACAACAGCAATTCAGGTGGCGCTGGTCGACTTGCTGCGGTCATGCAACATCACTCCCAGCAGCGTCGTTGGTCACTCATCAGGAGAAATTGCAGCTGCGTACGCGTGTGATGCCATCACTAGCGAAGCGGCTTGGGCATTGGCATACCGCCGTGGCCAGAGCGCTGCACTTCTCAAGACGTATGCGCCGTTTCTTCAAGGAGCCATGTGTGCCGTCAGGATGACTTGCTACGAAGTCCAAGCTTACCTCAAGAGTCGACAGAATCCTGGCGATCTGGAGATTGCTTGTATCAACAGTCCAAACTCGATTACAGTCTCTGGCGAGCTGGAGGATATTCTACACATGCGAGATGAACTCAAGTCGCGTCGGGTTCTTTGCAAGGTACTTGATGTGGACATCGCCTACCACTCGAGACAGATGAACATGGTTCAGGAGGACTATCTGGAGCGCATCAAGTCAATCCGACCAAAGGACACCACTGGCAACATCCCTTTCTTTTCGTCCGTACGGGGTAGAGTGTATCCGCATGCTCTCCTCGGGAAATTCTACTGGGCTGAGAACCTAGTTTCGCCGGTGCAATTCGTTTCCGCAGTCAAGGCTATGATGGATTCTCAGAACAGACCGGATTTCTTGATCGAGTTGAGTCCTCACGCGACGCTAGCATCGGCGCTCTCTGAGATTATGGCCGAACATAACCCTAGCAGCCAGCCGAGATATCTGTCGCTCATGCAGCGCGAAAAGGTTTCCGCAACCACAACGCTTCAGGCGATTGGAGAGCTTTGGGCTCGCGGCTATCCTGTTGATATGCTTCAGGTCATATCCAAGTAAGCAAGCCTTTTCTTTACACTTTGTCTACGTTACTCACAACGATTTACTAGGGGCTCTGATAATCCTACGTTCAAGACGCTTGTTGATCTACCATCATATCCCTGGAACCATTCCAAGACCTTCTGGCACGAGTCACACACCTGTACAGAGCATCGCTTCCGGAACTTTGGCCGCCAAGATCTCATCGGATCGCCGTCCCCAGATGCCACCACCTTTGAGCCGCGCTGGAGAGGTTTCTTACGCATCTCTGAGAACCCTTGGATCCAGGATCATCGAGTTCAAAAGACGATCGTGTACCCCGCAGCAGGCATGGTCACCATGGCTCTCGAAGCCGTGAGCCAGCTTTCTCATGGCATGACGGACGTTTTGGGGTTCCATTTGACCGATCTGACAATCGAGAGAGCCATGATCATTCCTTCTACGGCTTACGGTCTCGAGTACTCGCTCAACTTGAAGCAGTGCTCTGCCAACTTGGAGGCTGAACCAGTGTGGGAGTTCTCTATCTACTCAAAGCAAGAAAATGGCCCTTGGATTCGACATGCGGACGGATGCATTAGGATTCGACAAAAGGCTGGGGGTATTCCGTCATCCACTACCAGGAACGAGGCCATGTTCAAAGAGGTCCAAAGTCAATGCACCACGACTATGCCTCCACGACAGCTATATGAGATCCTGGATATCGTCGGCCTCAACTACGGGCCTTGTTTCCAAAACGTCGCGTCCATATCTACTCACCAGAACGCCTGTATCAGCAAGATTCGCATCCCCGATACGAAGTCAAAGATGCCAGCAAATTTTGAGTATCCTCACGTTATTCATCCTGCCACGCTGGATGCCATGTTTCAGACTCTCTTCGCAATCGATAGCAAGCCGATGGTTCCTTCGTCTATCGAAAGCATCTTTGTCTCTGCGAACATACCCCATGGCGCCGGCTCCGAGTTCACCGGATTTGCAACGGCCGAGAGACACGGCCTTCGTGACGCCACTGGTTCTATCGTAATGGTGGTTGATGTCAGTGATTGGGAGACACCGTCCATCGTTGTTGAAGGCTTGCACTTCACTGCATTGTCGGCACCCTCAGTCGAGGACGGCGGCTTCATTCCTAATCATCGCAATCTCTGTTCCAATATCGTATGGAAAGAGGACTATACCACGACAATGTACGCAGACTTCACTCACATGCTAGAGCTGATGGCACACAAGTACCCATCTCTGTCTGTTCTTCATTGTGGTGGAGATGAGCAGATGGCTCGACATGTTCTGGAGACGCTCTTGGACGGTGACAGGCTACTTTTGTCCCGCTTCACTATCACCGATGCCGCTACGCTGTCTGTCACGCAGAAGATCTTTGAGAAATCACCGGCTGTCAAAGTTTTGGAGCACCGTGATTGGGAATCTGTCAAGGGACATTCTGCTCGCTATAACCTCATCATCGCGAGCAGGAACTCAAGCGTCGATATGATCGAAGCAAGTCAACTCCTGCTGCACGATGGGCTTTTGCTCAATGAGGTCTCGCCGCCAATGACCCCGACCACCACCGACTCAATGTCCGGATTTCAGCAGCTTTCAGACGAGCTTGCGTCGCTCCAGGTTTCTTTCGAGCCCAATTCGGACGAAGTCATTCGCTGCGACATGCTGGACCAGCATTTTGAGGTTCATCTCTTTGCCGACGCATTGAACCCTGTTTCGTCACCCGAAGTCGTCCTTGTCTTGCCCGACACAGCCGACGCAGCCATCAATGGCTTTGTCATGTCTTTCAGCGACCTCTTGTCCGACAAAGGGTTCAAAGTGAGCGCCGGACTCTTGCACGAAGTCGACTCTGCTGGCAAGATCTGCATCGCGCTTCTCGAAGCGTGCGAGTCGTTTGTATATAGTTGGACGACAGAGCAATTCAGTGGCTTCCACAATCTTCAAAACACAGCCAAGAGCCTCTTGTGGATTACCCGTGGAGCAAACAGACGCCCGACCATTCCTCAGAACGCTTCTATCATTGCGCTCGCACGCACCATTCTGTCCGAGGATCCGCAAAAGACGATTGTCACTCTCGACTTGGCCGAGGCCACTCAACTTACTTCGTCTACCCTGCCCAAGACTGTGTGGTCTGTCCTTGCTTCAATATTGACCGGATCAGTCGAGGTGGAGTTTGCGGAAGAAGGAGGCGATCTGTACATTCCCAGACTGATGCCCCAGGAGGAGCTCAACAGGATGATCGAAAACGAGTCTCACATCGAGATTTTCCAAAAGCCTATCTTTGATCATTCAACAAGCAAGGGCAGTTACAAGATGGCAATTTATCAGCCGGGGATTTCGAATGACAACTTCCACTTCGTCAAGACCTCGTATCCTACAAAGCTTGGTCCTCAAGAAGTCGAGATTCAGACTCTCAGTGCGGCCTTGCATATCTCCGATCTTCACACCGCCATGGGACGTACGGAAGATGATATTCTGGGCATCGACGTCATGGGGATCGTGAGCAAAGTCGGTCGCGATGTAAGGGATATTCGCTGCGGAGAACAGGTCGTGGCCCTTGTCCCGGGCGCTTTCAAGACGGTTCACCGAGTCGACCAGGGCTTCGTCAAGCCCGCGCCGCCGCCGTTCGAATGCTGCCAATACACTCCAAGTGCTCTTATTGCTGCCTTTTATGCAATTTTAGGCGTCGGTAAACTTTCAAAGAAGAAGACGTTGCTGGTCCACGCGGGGGCAAGTTCTTACGGTCAAGCTGCAATTCGCATTGCAACCCTGATCGGTGCCGAGGTTTTTGCGACGGTCCTGGGAAGCGACTCTGATGCTCAACGTGCAACTCTCGTCAAAGCTCACTCGATTCCGAACGATCATATCTTCGATGCGAACGAAGAGTCTTTCGTCGCCGATGTTCTCCGATTCGGAAAGGTTAACATTGTCTACAACCCCACCCAGGAGCACACTGCCGTCAATTTCAAATGTGTCAAGTCATGTAAGTCGTCAAGTATCCTCACCTGGTGCGAAGCTAACATCATACAGCTGGCTGCGTTTTCCAGCTCTCCGACAGAATGCGCAAGCCTGTTAGAGGCCCCGTAGCTACTTCCACGATGTTCATGCGTTTCGACGTCGCCACCATCATGAAGGATGACCCTGACCTCATCAAGGAGTTCTTCACCATGGTAGACCAATTTGCCTTCGACTACTTGCGCAAGAGCTCGAGCCTTCAGTGCCAGCCGGTCCACCGCTTCCCCATGTCCAACTTTGAAGGAGCCTTCAAGCAGATCGACAAAACCCCTTACCACGGACTTGTCACCATGACAGCCAACCGCGATACCCTCGTTCCTGTGGCCACAGTGACGCAAATCAAGCCTCTTGCCGATGTCATCGACCCGAAAGGCACCTACGTTCTCGCTGGCGGTCTTGGAGGCTTAGGAAGGAGCATCGCGAAGCTACTTGCCGACAATGGTGCGAAGAAGCTGGTGTTCTTGTCAAGATCGAGTGGTAATCAGGATGCCCAGGAATTCCTTCATTGTCTCAGCAAGTCCGGCGTCCAAGCAACGGCAGTTGCGGTGGACATTACAGATCTTCAGGCACTCAAGGCACTCGCACCGACTCTTGGCAAGATTGCTGGTGTTGTTCAGTGCGCTGCGGTCATTCAGGTCAGGATCCTCACGCCTTTGCCTCGTATTTGACCATAGACTAACAGACAGCAGGATGCTCTGTTCGAGAAGATGAGCTTTGCCGACTGGCACACCGCCTTCGCTCCTAAGGCAGTCGGTGCCATGAACCTCGCAGACGTCTTCGGCCGAAACCCCGAGCCCGGCGCCTCGACCCCGGCTACCGCCCCTTGGTTCCTCTTCCTCTCGAGTGCCTCAGGAATAATCGGCAACCGGGGCCAAGCGAACTACGCGGCGGCCAACGCCGTTCAAGACGCCCTCGCCCAGGCTCTCCCTCGCTCCGTCTCCCTGGCTCTCGGTCCCGTCCTCCAGGCCGGGATGCTGGTGGAGGACGAGGAGACCCTGGGGAAGCTACGCGGTGCTGGGTTCTACGGAATCCGGCACCAGGACTTCCTGACGATGGTGGAACGGGCCATCACGGGGGAGGTCACCCCCGGCGTTCAGACGAATCCGCAAATCGTCTCGGGCGTCGGCACCGGTGGCCTCATTCGCCAAAACGACCCCGGCGACCCCTTTTGGTCGCGCACGGCGCTCTATTCATATATGAATTTGGTCGACGTGCCGATCTACTCCCCGGAGGAGGGTCGTGATGATGATGGCGGTGTCTCCGGCGGTGGCGGCGAAGCTGACGTCAAGAAGATGCTCGCCGTGTGCTCCGGGGCGCAGGCGGCCGCGGTCATCATCTGCACCGGTCTGGTGCAGTTGATGGCCAAGGCCATGTCTCTCCTCCCGGAGGAGATTGATCCGGAGCGGGCGCCCAGCGCGTACGGCGTCGACTCCCTTGTTGCTGTAGGTGTTCGGAACTAGATTTTCCGCAATGCCGGGGGAGTCGATGTCTCCGTTTTTGAGATCCTCGGGGAGACGTCCGTTCGGGGCTTGGCTGGTGTCGTTGCCAGCAGGGGCAAGTGGTGATGGGGAAGGAGGGGGGAGGAGGGCAAGTTCCCCAAGAGGAACGGAGTGTGTGGCGGTCCGCGCAAGACGAAAAGGACCAGAGTGAGATGGCCCAATCCAGTTGTAAAATGGGGTTGTCATTTTCAGTGTGTGTGTATGGGAGGATACAAATGGGCGGAATGGTTTGCTTTTGTGGAGGGGACCGGATAGACCAACCCTTTAGAGTTCTCTGGGCCGGCTTCTCGTTTTTAGTCAACAACTGACTGTTCTGTATTCATGCAAGATCTCGGCGGAAAGTGACTATGCCCTTAATTTGCAAAGGGACCACAATGAGAGGAAATTGCCAAGTGCTTGTAGCAAACAGTAGTCCCATCCTGGCTGCTGGAAACGAGCCAAGAGTGCCCTGGTATCAAAGAGCGGGCGAGGCATGAGGCGGTGATGAATGAGTATCTCGAGTAAATCTCTTCTCCTACCTTCCATTGCATCGAACATTCATTAGAGTACCAAGGATAGGTGGTTAAGGCATCTTAAGGCGGTAGTGTGGCAAAAACAATCCAAGCCACAGCTTGTTGACAATACCCTACACGTTGGCTGCAGTTTATGTTGCCCTGGTTTAGGAGCGGCGGTAAAGTGTCCTTTGATGTAAGCGAATGAATTTACGTTGTGTCTCGCGAGACACAATCATATACTAAATGGTAAAAGTTTGAGGCTTGCCAACTAAGCGTTCATGCTAAAAGTCTGGCTGGGCAAAGTTGCAAGGCAGGAATTGGGCTAGACATGTGCCTTCGCCTCTAGACTCAAGACTACCTTATAAGGCATCTTGGGTAGGCATGCAGGCTAATAGCACTAGACTCATGAACAGCAGACAACGTGAACAGAGATTCGATGGACAAAATGCGACGGTGTGGTCAGATGAGGAGCAAACCAACAGCCTGTACCTCGTGAGCCCGATGAGACGGAAAAAAAGAATGCAATGAGCAGACGGAAGGCGGCTGTAGCCTGGGGCTGACTGCAGGTATCCGGGTCACCGAGACATGTTTGAGTGAGGTCAAGAGTCGAAGAACTTGAGCAGTGACATTAACGATAAGTCAAGAGTCTCAGTGACTGCTTGAACCATGTGTGGACTGATCTGAAAATGAGAAGGAACATTCTCTGAAGAAGGCTAGGCCTCGAGTGTTAGTCTGCAGAGCCTCACGACGTCAGGTCTCATTTGCAGAAAAGTACCCAAGACAAGCATGTTCAAGCGCTGGGCACACTGATTGGATGCCTTGTTCAGACCGGTGGATCAAGACATTCTGCTTAGGCCGATACATCAGAGGGCGATGGAACAGGAGAGACACACCGAAAATGCTGGGATGGGTATCTCGAGGCAGTCATGGTAGGATTGGTGGAAGGGAAAAGTGCAATAATTGAATACCTACCTATGCATGCGTGGGCCAAAAGTTTGGACCCTTGAAAACACTTGGCATCGTACTTTCCCCAAGAGGCAAACGCATTGGGGGGGGGGGGGTGGGGGGTGGGCAGTCCCGGTACGTACCTACTCTATCAGTTCCTTAAAGTACACTGTAAATTTAGCCAACAAATGCCACAGTGCCTCAAAGTCCATTGCGCGCTCCAATTAACGCGTCGCGCTATCCCAGGTGACGGACATGACATCAAATACTTTGAATGAAGCTGCGATAAGATAAGGAAATCACCACTGCGAGCAGGACCGAGAGTCTGTCTACCTCTGCCTAAAGGTACCATCTCCTTGCGACTGGATGATAAATATTGCAGACCTCGTGCTTAAGGTAACCCTCATCACTCTCGCTCAGCAGATCAATCAGTGGTCAAACAAAGATTGAAAAGGCAGCGACGCCTTTGGCTCTTGCTCTTGGAGCCGAATTGTTCGTCGCTCTTTCAGTCTCTGCGGCAACCATCTTTCCATTTCCATCACAACTCACTCTGCCGACAGAGACCGATTTCTTCCAGACGACACCACACGGTACTTCTACCACTTCGGCTCCCGACCCATCTCCGACAGCCTGCTGCAGCACAACATAAACCTCTCCAGCGCCCAGCAGATGTTGCAGCACCGCGCCACACACCTTTTGACCTCGTCGCCTGCAGCTCGCCTCATTTGAGCGAGGAAAGGGAAACTTCGCCCCGCCACCGCCGTCTTGCCCAGCATCCCACCGACCGACCGACAATCACACTGCGTTTGCGCAACTGACAAATATGGACGACGACCCGGCTGCCACCCAGGCCCGGGACAAGGAGGCACTCAGGAACCTCGCCAACGAACTCCTGGACCTCGAGGGTGAACGAGACTTTCGACAAGCTATCGCCGAATCTCTCGCCGACGGGAACCCGCGAGACTACGAGAAGGCTCTTCGAGAATACGATTCGGCTGCGAAGACGATTGATAGTAAGACACTGGAGAAGCAGCGACTGGAACAACGGATTCGGGCGGCCAAGAACTCTGCGCGACAGTCAACGAGAGACGCTACATTCGGAGAAGACGCAAACATGAGAGCGGCTAGGGACCGCTGGGGAGTTGGTAGGTGGATATTTTAATTTTGCTGAGTTATTGCGATGCCTCCACGAACTGCCCAAGTTTTGCCCTTGCGACTTTCCTCAATTTCTGCCCCAGATTCTTCAAGTGAAGAAGCCAGCCATAGTACACGAGCAACTAGTATGCCGGAGGTGGAAGGACGGCCAGAAGTCTGACCTGTCTATACATCATTTCGTGGTCATAACAAGCGTGTTGCTCGATGGAAATGGCAGCATCAGGCTTGCTAGCTTCGAATACTTTGTCTATTCCAAGCGCTTGATCTAATCGGCTTGGCAAGGAGCAACGAAACGTGGAGATGGAGCTCTCCTGTCTATGGCTGTCCAAGGTCTGAGGGCGTAAGGCAGGCAGTATTCTCAGTGCCGCTCTTGCCTTCTCAAAGCAAGCAGTCATGCCTTGCTCCTGCCTAGTCGACGCCTTCCTCTTCCTCTCACGCCTTCCACAGGCTCACATCATAATCCGGGCTTCTCATATTTCACCCTACATTCCACCCAACTTTCTACACTGACACGAGCTCCATCAAACCCTCCCGCCTTCAGAATACCTGTCTCTCATTGATCTTTCATTACCGTCTCGCCCATCTCAGACCACCCCTCACACCTATCCACGATCAGACATGATTTCGATCTAGGCATATTCCAGCCTACCTGATTTATTAGTACCTTGGTCGCACAGGACACTGATAAATACCTCTGTGAAACTGACACTTTCCCAGCAAACGTCCCTTACAGACCATCTTCCGGGTCCCAAAACGCGGTTGCCTCTCAAGGACCTTCGAAAGACACATACGCCATGCCCAACTCGGGTTCCGCTCGTGCCGGCTCGGCCTCCTGGAACCCTTTTGAACCGCCTGTGCCCAATCTAGGTAGTTCGGCAAGCCATAACAATCCATTCAACAAGAAGAGAGCATTTGGTTCCGCCTATGAGTCTCTCGGCCAGGCTACCTCAGGCCGGAACAAGTCTCAGCGCACAGCCGATGTGTCTGATGTCATCGACCTTACTGGGTAAGTACAGATTATATTTCACTGCTGGATTGGCTTTAGGTCTAGGCGGCAAATGACTGTCTGTTTTCTGATACAAGGACTCACAAATTTGGCAGGGACGATGACGATGTACACACATCGTTTATTTCGCGCTCAAAACAAGCGGAGGCACAGGAAAGAGGTCGTAGAATGGCCTCACTGGCACGCGCTCCCCGTCAATTCTCTCAGGCCAACTCATACGACGCCAGACCTCCTCCTCCTCCTCCTCCTGTGGTCCGTCATCTCCCAGGCGCATATGGCTCTGGATATGCCAACAGCCTACAAAATCCCAACAATGGTATTTCCCATGGATATGCCAGCGCGAGCTCTTCCTCGAGTATGGCCTCGACCCCTGGCGGAGACTTTATGCCCCGGATGCCGGGTTCTTATATCGACGAGGAAGACATGAACTTTGGTTTCACGCCGGCTAGCCAGATGATGAACCGTCAGCTAGCCAATCGGAACGGATATCCTTTTGGCAACAGATCTTCTCTCAGCACCTCTGATGTGATCAACAGAGCTAACAACTACAACTTCATGGACCTTACTGACGGCTCCGGAAACCCGCTGGATGCTCGCGTTGTCTCCTTGATGGAAGACATTAACAATGACCCTCGCAGATCCAAAGAGGAAGTGGAGGCACTTCTGCGAAATGTGCACGCCGGCATGGACATCCCCGAGGAAGATCGGGAGGGAACTCCTGAAGCTATGAGATACCCTCTTTATGCGCACCAGAGGGTTGCGTTGACATGGATGAAGCGCCAAGAGAAGGGCACTAACAAGGGAGGTATTTTGGCCGATGACATGGGCCTGGGAAAGACAATTTCCGTTCTGTCCCTCATGGTATCACAAAAGTCGACCAAACCAACATGCAAGGTAGGTTTGCTTCCAATCAATTTCACACGCTGCTAACTTCCCCTTACAGACCACTTTGATTGTAGCCCCGCTGTCCCTAATTCGGCAGTGGGAAGATGAGATCAAGAAGAAGCTCAAGAGTGGCCCGCCTCATGCCTTGACTGTATACATTCATCACAGCACTCAGAAGACGAAAGCCCAAGAGTTGATGAAGTATGATGTCGTCCTGACCACCTATGGGACCCTCGTCTCGGACAGGAAGAAGTATGCTGCTTGGCTCAAGGACTTGGATGGACGTCCTGCGTTGACCAAGACCGACCCCAACCTAGCGAGCTCTGTCTCCCTATTCCATCCAGATTACTCGAAGTTTTATCGCATCGTTCTGGACGAAAGCCAACAGATCAAAAATCACAAGGCGCAGGCGGCTGGGGCCGCATCCCACCTGCAAAGCGAGTATCGTTGGTGCCTATCCGGTACACCGATGATGA